GGGTGTTTAAAATCTCGTAGATTAGATAGTGTTCTACAAACCTAGTAAGCTTTCAAATTCGGTTTTTTTCATCACGCTGTACAGTAAATCATCGATGAGCGTTCGAAGGCTCCTCGGCACTGAATATTAAATATTTCATGAACTAATGGCCTTATGCGTGTGAAACAGATATCATTGACTTAAGAATTCCAAGGTACACTGCGCTAAACCTCATTGAAAATTCAACCTAACACCTGAGGACCTTTCTTTGTCAGTGGCGAGGAGCCTTCGAACACTAATCGATCATTTACTGTATAGTAGATTCCACTTATTTGGGGTATTGGTTAATCGATGGCAGCCGTTCATTTGGAACAAAGCTCAAAGAACAAAATCTAATCGAATGAAGGTACTGTATTTACCTATGTGATATTTCGCATAATTCGACCAAAGGGCGCGAGTTTTCGTGTGTCCCAAATAAGCAGAATCCACTGTACTTGTATATATCCACTGTCACGGCTGCTTCTAAAATGCATCAGACTACGGGTTGGTCGAAACAAGTAGAAACAATTAAAAGGCATGGAAATATGATGGTGCTTTCGTGGTGTTCAAGAACAACGAAGAAGCGACTAGTGTAAGAATACCGAAAGGCCGATCGTTCGAGGATAGTCGAAGCGATAATTAATGGGCCGACAACGAGGCGGGTAAATTTGCAAAGCCATTTCAAGTTCCTTCGAGCTCCTTCAACTTTCTTTGGCTTCCGTCCCGCTCATCGCCGTCTAATAGTTTACTGGCGGGTTGATTGGATTCTTCGGACCATTTGTAACCGCATCGGTAAACTTTGTACATTTAACGCCGAGTGCTCACCTGCTCCGATTTGATCGCGATCGGGGGTTGGATGGGTTGTTCATCGAGTGGGTCACGGAACCCGGATTTCATTTCACCCTTTGTATCGATCACACGGACATTCTCCGTTCCAAAAATTCTCTATAGTTAAATTTTTCACGAAACCATCAATCAAGAAACACAAAATCACCCATTAATTCATTTCACCCCCTGTATCGATTTCAAGGATATTCAAAGTTCCCAAAATTCCCCATTATTGACCGATATATTCAATATTTCACAAAACCATCGTTCAAGATATCCAAAATTGCCCCCGAGACAATAGAACCGAAATGATCAATGACAAAAAAAAATTGAGTCCTCTCAATGGAGAATTTTAAAGGGGGGCCAATTTCAGTGGACCCCAAAGAATCGAAATGGTCTCGGAGTACGTGTCGGCCATACTTCAGGCCGAGATTGAAGTAAATTGGCGGAATTGTCGGTCCCCACAAGGAGCAATACTGATTACCTCGGCCGCCCGTTAAGTACTGTAACAATACTGACCCCCACCACGCCGCCACGGACTATCCCCCCTCTCGACGTGACTTTACAGAGGGTGATAGAGCGTACGACCAATCCCGAGCAGTCTCTGCCCACCACCGATCCCTTCCCTCCACGCGGTGCACCTTGCGTCTCCTTCTCTCACGTTCGGTCGCTAGGTCGGCTGCGAAACGAGGGCCGAATGATAACCGAGAAGGAGAGACGAAATGCGCCTACCCTCCCTATGAGGAGGTAGCTACCAAAGAGACGGAGAGAAAGAGGGCAAGCACTGACAAACGAAGAGTGGGACCAGAAGGGAGGAATCGGAAACAGAGAAAGAGACATTTGAATCCGTAAAAAGGGAGCAAAACGCGCCGACAGGGGGTGATGGTTGAAAGTACTCGCGGAGGGCGAGAAGGGGAGTGAAAAAGACAACGAGAGAGAAAGAGGTTCTAAAATAAAGTGCAACCGAGAGACAGGAGAGAGAGCCTGTCCATTAAGACGTGGAAAAAGGGAGAGGCTATGAGAAAGACGTCGAAAAGGGACCGCGAAAGAAAGACACTCGGGGTGGGAATCGAAATGACGGCCGAGGGTGGAGGGGGATGAAGTCGAACTCTCGCGTTTTTCGTCGAACACTCCAAGGCGCATAATCATCGCTTGGTCCTTTGTCGGTTTATATAGATCGTCGACAGTTGCGCTGTTCCATGACGATCCAGGCGGACGTCTACGGGTTTTCTATAGGTCATAGGGGCGTTTCGGGGGTGCGCGAGGAGTTCAACGTTTCCCTACTCGAGTCTCTCTCTCTCGCTTCTCACACCAGGGTTGCTTTTCCCCGCTCCTTGTTCCCCGGGTTATTAGGGCTGCCTTTGGCTGCGGGACAATCGAAAGGCACCGGGTAATGGGCGGGGCTTCAGGACAGGACCACCGCCGTCATAATTCCACCCTTGCGACCGGGGGTCTGGTATTTCCATCGTTTCGGGAACCGTGAATTTTTCATCGCACGTAAATACCGCGTACCCCCGCGAACCAGCGAGGATATTCGAAATTTCTTGTGTACGGGGTGTCCTTTAATCGAATGCTCTTTTTTAGCGACGTCATTTAACCTTATACCAAGTTACACCCCGAATATCTTGTTTAACTTTGTAAACGCAAAAACTATTTTATACGTAATTTGAATAGTATTAAGTAGTCAATATTCTGTAGGCGTTGTTTTTTTCTCGACGTTTTTAAGGTCATCGATGGTTTTTCAAAAAAATATATTCAGATATGACTTTGAAAACTTCGAGAAAAGAACAACATTTGAAGAAAACAATGCCTGCAGGACTTAGTATCAATTAAATTACGAATAAAATACTTTTTGCGTTTTCACAATTGAAAAAGATAGTCGTGGAGTCATACTTAAATAAGACACCCTGTGTATACTCCCGCTCATAATTATTAGAACACGTATCGAATATGCAGTAAATGTCATAGGGCTTTAGGAAATTGTTGAAACCTGAAATAGATCAAGTTTAGGGGATTATGCTACTATGAAGTATCAAAAGTGGCTCAAAATATATCATTTTTACGAAACATCAGATTTTCTTTATACAGATCAAGTGTCCCAATGTTTATGAGAGAGTATTTGGTACGGTCATTGAATATAAACCATTTTTATTTGGAACAAAAGCTTTGCCCTGACCCTGTCTTTGCAGTGGCGTTCAAGGGCCGCCAGACTCTGGCGAACCAGAAACGAGTATCCAACGAGGCTTCACCAGCAATGTCCTATCCAATTCCAACCGTCATTCCAAGTCCAAACATAACCACACCATTTTACGGGGGCAAACATTTCTACTTTTCGACGTGCAAACCTTCTGTGATACCTCGGGGAAGCTTGCTCTTCAACTGTGCTGACCATTTCGCGTCTCATTCAAACCCCCGCCATTCATCCCCCCCTTTTCCATGTTGCACATGCTTAATGGCTACCTGTATATTCATGCCGTTTTGCGCGCGAATCAACATTCAAATTGCGTGCGCATACGTAATCAGATTGAACAGTAGCCTGGGGGCCGGGATCATCCGTTGAAACAATGAGCACTCGGTTAATTTATAATTTCGTATATCGATTACGAGTCCGTGAAACATCGGTTTTCCATCGGAATTTCGGTATCTTCGTGTTTCCTAGAAGAACAGAATTCTGATATATTAGACTCACAAGAGAAGGCACGGAAGTGTCACCCATCAATTTTGATGAAACTTCGTATGTCTGTTAAGCAGTAAAAAATAAGGGATACGTATTTTTTAATATCGGCTGAGACGCGACTTTAAAGGGTGGAACCACTCTTTTTTCTTATAAACAAATTATATTTTGAACAATTTGTTAGCACCATATTATTCTACATAAAAAACAGCAAATCTCGTCCATTAGAAGATTTCATGTATCTCCTCTGGTTTTCGAGATAGTTGTTTCGGGTCGAAACTTCGAGGGGTAGTTTCACCCCTTGAAGTCGCGTCTCAGCCGATAAAAAAAAATACGTATCCCTTATTTTTCACTGCTTAACAGACATACGAAGTTTCATGAAAATCGGAGGGGGCACTTCCGTGCCTTCCCTTGTCAGTCTTTCGGTGTAGCTTCCACCGTCCGACGGTTAAAGAAACGAACATGGACGACGGACGTTTAGCCACGTTTAACTTCGTAGATGAAGTGCGAACCAGAGAGCATTCCCTCGACTATGTTCGACGTTTGTCAGCCCCTATCGGCTCAATGGGGACCGTCCTCCTTTTTTTTTTATGTCAACACGAGGGCCAATTGAGTGGATATAATAGCCGGTACCACATGTTTCTCTCGGATTCGCCGACATGTGGGTTCCATTCGCGTCGTTGTGCACGCGCACTAAAACACTAACGGGGTTCCACGAAGGGAGGGGATCGCGCGGCGCACTAACGACGGGTCCTCGAAGTCATCAAATTGATCGCCATGATTTGGGTACACTCCCTCCACCCATTATTCGACCGCGAAAGACTCGTGCACTCTGCCCACCGTGTTAGACATTACACGGGTCTATCCAATTACCTACGCTTGCAAGGGGTAACTAGAAATTAGAAAAACGTTTCACAGAAGCGTTCTATTCTACCGTAGATTTCTTTTCGAGTTGGTAATCGAGGTAATTCGGTCGATTGATAGTCCTATGCTATTTCTACCTGACGCACAGTGGTCCAGAATCCAATATTTATTTGTCAAATGGTCAGATGCAAATTTCTTTTATCTTCCTAAACAAAACTTACATCAACTTATAATCGTGCAAGATTTGTTCCATCCGTTATTGTTCACCTCGAACGTTTTCGTATTGTCAATCCCAGTCAAAAATAGAAAAAAATTCCCTAAAAAGTTTCGAAATTTTGTATTGTTCGAGCTAAATAATCGTACGAACTGTTAAATTTCGGATTTTCGACCACTGTGCGACGCGATCCAACGTTCCACCCATTAATACAGAGACCACAGAAACCAGTATCGCCACAAATTAGGGCCAGTCCTGTAAAATGGGCGGCGTTGAACATCCAAAGGGAGGGTGGTGTCACGCGGCCATTCCCCTCGCGCACACCCACCGAAACACGTCGTCGTTCGACTGTGAAAACGAACCGAGGATAGTAAAGCTCGCGTTTCCATTCCAGGTCCTACCATGCAACCGTTCTCGACTGGCAGCACAATGACGACCGAGACACCGACGAGCCTTCCGACCGAGAGGGTGTCCTCATCTCCGACCCCGTGCCGGAGCCTGACCTTCTCGATCGAGAAGATAATGGAGCCGGACAAGCGACCGCCGATGATAGTGTCGGCGTTCAAGAAATACGTGCCCACGTATCTGCAGTATTACCCCTTCTTCTACTATCATCCGAACCCGTTGCTGAGAGCACTCCCAGCGCTACCCCCAACGACAACGCCCACGGTACCCCAGAATTCACCGCCGCCAGCCACGATCCAAGAGGCCTTTTCGAAGATCAGCCTGACAGCAGTCTCCCCCGAGTCTCAAAAAGAAAAAAAGAGTCCCGGTCCAAGGAACACGGAGCTAACCAACACTAACAACAAACAAAAAACGTTCACCTGCCCGGTGTGCGGTAAGGTGTTCAACGCCCACTACAACCTGACCAGACACATGCCCGTGCACACAGGTGCCAGACCGTTCGTCTGCAAGATCTGCCAGAAAGGCTTTCGCCAGGCTAGCACTCTATGCAGGCACAAGATCATCCACACCGACGAGAAGCCCCACAAGTGCCCAACCTGCGACAAAGCGTTCAACCGAAGCTCAACCCTGAACACCCACCGTCGCATACACGCAAACTACAAGCCCTACGTCTGCGAAGCCTGCGGTAAAGGTTTCCACCAGAAGGGCAACTTCAAGAATCACATGCTCACGCACAGCGGAGAAAAAGCGTACAAATGCAAGATCTGTAACAAGGCGTTCCATCAGATCTATAACTTGACCTTCCACATGCACACGCACAACGACAAGAAACCATTTTCCTGCAAGATCTGCGGGAAAGGATTCTGCCGGAACTTCGATCTCAAAAAGCACATGCGGAAGCTACACGATATCGGCTCGCCTCTACCAAGCCTAGGCACCTCGGCACCGAGTCAAAATCAACAAAGTGGATACGCGTCCGTTCATCATGGCTCAAGTGGCCACACGTATGTTTCCCCTTTTCTGCTACCACCCCCTGGATCAGCGAACTACGTGATGCAATCGGATGTCGTCACGAGAATAGAGTACACCTTGCCCAAGGATGATCCGGTGCCGTCTTATCCGTGGCCGACGTTGCTGCATCGAGGGCATCGAACGACTGACTCGAACATTGAAGTGGAAAGACGTCAATGAACCACGGGAAATCGAATTTGTTCTGACAGTCACATGGAATTCAGAAGCTGGAATATGCTTCTGGTATGGGGATCGTCGTGTTTTCCGATACGAGCTAAGTGAAGCCTAGAATGTGAGGTTCGTTTGGACACCAAGAAGAAATACCAAAGACGCGACTTGTGAGACCCGAGGAAACGCCCTGCCGCCGCACAGTGGTCCAGAATTTAGCAGCTCATACGCTTGAGCTCAAGAAATGAAAAGTTCTGAAATTTGTATAGTTTATTCAAATAGAAGCAGATACATGAACGATATTTTTATGGATCGTAGAAACCTTCTGCGATGACGTATCATTCACTAACAATTTGTTTCGATACTTTATGAAAATCTGAATTTTTAGGGATTGTTTTTCTATTTTTATCTGACAAGGGAAGGCTCGAAAGTGTCCCCCTCCGATTTTGATGAAACTTTGTATATCTGTTGAGCAGTCAAAAATAAGGGATACGTATTTTTTTTTATCGGTTGAGATGCGACTTTAAGGGGTGAAACCATCCCTCGAAGTCTTGATCCTTTTGGAAGAGATTTTTTTTCGACCATTTGAGCTGTTAAATTTTTATTCTGGACCAATGTGCGCCGCCCTGGTCTCGAGACAACCAACTACCTCATCTACAGCAACCAAATGACGGGGGCGGAGATTATTCTTGTTTTATCGTTAACGTTAGTCTCAGGTTCTGCGGTAATGACGTTCACGACAGACTGTATACTTTGTTTGATTTCGAAAAATTGGTCCGATCAATATTTTCAGAAAAAGCTTTCTCACTGTTGCACAGAGTGTCAGCTGTGTAAGCCCCGTTTCGAATCGATCTGACGGAGATCAGTGAGAATCAGCGCACCTGCATCGGATCGAGTCTCTATTATACTTTAACGGTGGATTTTTCGTTGTTTTAGTTCGCTATGACAGTGCACGCGTATCCAGACTATTGGTTCGTTTTTTATTTTTCGGAAAATAATTTCGATGTTTTATTGTAATTCGTTCAATAGAGATTGAGGCACAGGTAATCGTAACATTCTGTACTCGTTTAGGAAAATACACTGCGTAGTCGAAGCGAAGGATCGTGGCGATAGGTCCGTGAATAAAATCGCGATACAGGTCCGTTCTTAATTTCGGGATCGAACGAATATCCCCCCCGTCAAGGGAACAAAAAAACGTCGGGTAACCAGGGAGAATAATCGAATCACGACGACTAGTCGCGGACAATTCCGCCGTGACAATGATATTTTAACCGAACCGAGCAGTTCCGCAGCTGCAAAACATTGAACCGAGCAATTACGACCGCGCATATCCGAGAAGGCAAATATCCAGGGAGGTGGTAGTATTCGTGGCGAAATAAACCGCGTCGCGGGAGAGTTAAATCAACAGCGGAAAATGCGGGGAAAGGGGGAGGGGGTTGGAACCGTGTGTGTCTTGGTTCGATCGTTATATTGGAAACACCGGTCCCCATGATATCGGTTTAATCGTCGCAATGAAAGCTCAATCGATCGTGTATGCTGCGAGATGATTACTTATTTGTGTAAATATTTGTACCTGGCCACGGAGACGGTTGACGAATAATAGTCGTCGACGAGGAAACGGGGGTAGGGGGATGAAACACGAGGCGTGGACCTCGTCGAGAATTTAAAAAAAATCTCAACCCCCGTGGTCTCGTACACGCAAAAATCTCGAGCGACATGTCGTCGCTCTAATTCTTTATTGTTCTATCTCCACTAGTTTGTAGATTGAGAAAATTTAGTTCAAAGTTTGCGAAGTTTAATATTGTAGTATATGGAAAGTAGTGAAATAATCAAATATATTATTATATCATCTATTGAACAACTATTTATTACAATATTTAACAAAATGGGTGAACTTGCGAAAAGCACTCACACCCTGACTTTAACACCCTCCTAACTAACCTTTAAAAGGTTTAAACAGCCGATGATTGATGATTAAAAAGTTATCAACAATGAAAGATTGAAAAACGTACCAACGAATATTTGTTGTTTTCTAGGTTAAATTTTCTTCATATTAAGGGGAATTCGTATTCTTTGGACCAATAAGATGCACGTAGATTGATTAACTACATTTTTTTTTTTGTAAATGGAGTTAGAACAGTTACGAACTTGGGCGACAACGTGTCGACCGCATATCTATATCTAATAATTTAGGCGAAAAATGTATAAATCGGTGTGATAGTAGCTTTAAGCGACGACGTAGATAGCGAACGAAATGTTGGTCATTATTATTACCATTGTAATTATCCTAGTTGAATACGTGGATCACGCGACCCTCTCCGGAGCTTTTTTGCGATAGAGGACAGTGTTTTATTTACTATTTCCTTCGTTTCGTCGCGTGTGTACGTCCAGTTCTATGCATTTTTCATTTACTGCTCCACGATTTCCAGGACGGGGAACGCGACGAAGATCGTACCAATTGCTGATACGATATGCATATATTGTTTTCCTTCTTCTTCTGATGCATTTGTAATTTGTATACACGTTGTTTTTTACAACCAACGAGGCAAGAGGATCGTCTCGAACTCGGCGACTTAATCGATTCGTATCCCCTCACACGTTTCTACCGTACGAATTTAGGTAAGCAGCAAATAATGACGGTGAATTAATTAAGCATGATTAAACGGCGAAAAAAAAAAATAACGAAAAGTTATTGTATGTAGATAATCGGTAGAGTAGATGAAAATGCATATGTATGTGTCCCCCTGTTGTAAATATGAGTCAAACCAATGCAATAAAATCGTCGATACCAATGATCTTGTTTATTGTTCCGCTCACATTATTTGCGTAACACCCCCACCTTTCACAGAAATCCTATATATCCAATATTTTCAATTGATACACTACAGCTCTTTAATTTGCAGAATTAAAACAGTACAATGCTAAGATACAAACAGCCAAGTCACTATTGATACTCACACACATAGTCGGGATAATTAATTAACTCAACCCCATAAGTGATTAATCCTTTGCACTCCATTATCCCCTCTGAAGGGACAAAATGTATTACAATTAAGAATATTAATTCGTAATTAGGAAATTTCGAGTACAAATGGTTATTGCATATAGAATTTCACCAAATTATTTACCAAAATGCGAACTTTGCTTCAAAATTAAAGAATATCGATCACAAAAGTATGATTAAAATAACGACAAAAAGAACATGTAAATGGAAATTGCATAAAAGTCACGACACCCACTTGTTATTTCAAAAGTATGTGAACAAATATGCAAGTCACTGTAAATTAAGGAATTTTTCATAAGTCCACACAATTTCCTAAAAAAAAAAAAAAAAAAATTATCAACCTCCAGTAGCACTGTTCCAACTCTCATCCTATCGATTACCAATACAAAGAGCGACTTAACCCCGGAGTAATGTACGTAACGATGATAGGAGCGTCCCAATCTTCCCGGTGGATCGCTCGATCCCCAATCTCGTATGCCACCGTACGAGAACGAACCGGCCCCTTAAGCACATCGTCTGTTTCGATCGGGTCCTTCTCCACGCGAGAGAAGCACCGTTATCGGGGCAGGGAAGAGCTTGTGCCAGGGTAAGAGAGACAACGAGAAAACGGGGGCGCATCATCTGCCATTAGACGCGATGCAATCTGTCGCGTTAGCAATGAGGCGACACGGACACCACGGTGCTGCGGAGGTATCGAACGACGGGGCGGGAAGGGCGAAAAGTTAGTCAAAGGTGGAAAAAGGAGACGGATCGATAGCACGGAGGGTGGTCAGAGCATCGAGGGTTGGAGGATACCTATCAGACGGATAGAGGTAGAGAGAGATAGATAGATAGGAGGAGGACGTGATTCTGTGACCGATCTGTAAGAGAGATATCGCGTCGGCCTTCTGATGTATCTGCAGAATCTGTCCTCTATCCATTAAATCGGGACTCATCCCGACCGCCATCGCGTCAGGTCTCCTCGTCCCTTATCAAACGCCGGTCGTTACTGTGCACGTTCCTCCCTATATAGCGACCAGGCTCGACCCGTACGTGTCAACAAGGAATTTCGTGTTTCCGGGTTGACTACTAAAATTGTGACGGTTAATTGGCCACGCGGTGACTTTTGACGTTGGTAGGATGGATATTGAAAGTATAGTTAGATTACTGAGAAATCTCGAAATGTCTTTCATTGCCGAAAAGTGATTCGATAGATAAATACGGTTGATCAGAAAAATATTTGAACACCAGTACAATTTTTAGTTCTGTATTTGTTGAACTGTCAAAGACATAATAAATGTACAGTTCTTAAAATTTTTGACAGCAAATATAAAACCATCCTAAAATTTTTAATTCTTATGTATTGTGGTTAGAATAAAAGCGAACAAAGTATGCCATATCTGAAATCGTGATGAGGAACAATGTTTTTTCCAGAAAAGAATACTTATATTCCTTATATGAAAAGTAGTTCGTCTTTATTTTAATCACAATACATAAGGATTGAGAACTGACGAATTTTCGAATTTACGAAAATTTACTAATATGATGTATTATAGTACTTTTTTTTATTACTTGTTGCATATATGTTCATAAACATAGAGCTGAGAAGTCAAAATTACACTTGTGTCCGAATATTTTTATGACCGACTATACATTGTCGATTGTGGAAATACACGGTCGCTTCAAGAATCGAATAAATTTCTAAAATTCTTCTCAGGAACTTTTAAAATCGGTCTTTCTGAATCTAATGTTTATTATAAGCCCTGCGGAATTCTAATCTGTATAAACTACACCCACACACATCGGTGAACCACGTAACAATAATTTTACAAAACAGTAATCCACACGACCAACAATAATTGAAAATTGAATACAGTAGTGAATAATGTAATATTTAGTGTGTACTCACTGTTATACATTACGATGTTCGTAATGTCACTTCCCTATCCATCAATCAGGTCTACGAATTCACACTCATCACCGACCACGGTACACTGAATATAATGGTCGAGTTGTGCTTCTTAAAAAC